AGAGACGGGAAAGCGGAGCCCTTCCATCCCAAGAGCCTCCACCATCTCAGTCACAGCCGGCATCCAACGACCCTGGAGACGACTTCGTGAACCAATTTGATCAAGACCAGCATCATTTTTAGTTTTTTTTTAGTTTTTCATTGTATATTAGGAATTTTAAAACTTATTATTGTATATTATTAGTTATTTATAAATATTTATTTATTTATTTTTTTAATTTTTTTAAATATATATAATTTTAATTTATAATTATTTTTTTTAATAGGAAAAAATAGTTTCGAAGTAAAATCCTCGTAAAGGTTTCGAGGTAAATTCCTCGTAAACTTTCCTAGCAAACTCCTCGTAAAGCGTCTACTACGAGTTTACGAGGAAGTTTTTTACTACGCCCTTACGAGGAAAGTGTACGTGGAGCTTACGAGGAAATGTTTTCCACGACTTTACGAAGAAAACTTTCCTCGTAAATTAGCTAGGCCTTTACGAGGAAAATAGCCTTTACGATGAACGTCTTTCGACGAAACACGTTTCCTCGCTATTTCCTAGTAAAGGGCCCTTTACTAGGAAATAACGAGGAAAACCCGTCCTAGTAAAGGACGTTTTTTCTTGTAGTGGATATTACATATGTAAATTATATAATACAATTGATCATATATATATATATATATATATATAATTTTTATTGATATGATCTTGATATTTTTTTTTGTAAAAGAATTTTCATATTTAAATTTATAAAAAATTAGAGATTACAACAAAAATAAAAACATCAAATTAAACCCCACGAAAACCCAACAAGGGTCTAAATTTACACATTGATCCAAACAAAAAAGTCTAAAACCCGACCTAACCGAACAGTCAAAACCCTAACGCCGCTTCATACCTTAGAGGAGGTTTGACAATATATATAGGACATAACCAAATGTGTGGACACATAATTCAAAGAGACTAACCCAGACAAGTGTTGGCAAAGGACCTCCATATACCATCAAAATATATCTGAATCAACAAACACCCAAAAACCATTTTTATACTAACATGTTCTCAAACCATATGTAAAGAACGATCAAAAGTCCTATGCTATTCACGTTTGACTAAAAAAGACAATTGATAGCCTTTTCACGTGCGGCAACTAAACATAAAGAAACAAATAGACTGGGAAATAGAGTAATGAACGAACAAAAAACTCATTTTTCTATTTATGGAGTAATCACTTTTTTCTTTGTTCATCACTCCATTTTCCACTCTATTTTTTGCAGTAAATTATGAAGTGGGTTTGGAGATGCTCTAAACCTGCACATGAAAGCCGTTCTAAACGGACCCTATTCGCTCACCTCGACTCTTTTCAGTCAAGAAGACATGCTTCAAAGAGTATTTTTTTCTGAAGAGTATTGATATTTTATCACTTGATGTTAAACCCAAATAAAGCTCAATAAAAGTAATAGATATAATATTGATCTACATTATGTGGTAGCCCATTTGGTATTGACAGTTCATTATGTGGAGCTGATCATATTGGGCTATACTTGAGAAGTACTCCAATCCATATAGTTCCAAATATTAGCATCAATTTGAATTATTTGTACTAAAAAATATTTTTGCGGCATAAATTATTTATTACTAGATTTTAAAATTCTCCAAATAATCCGTTATGGGAGCATTTTATTTCCAAATTATTACAAATATTTGAATAATAAGACTAAAAATATATTCCAAGGCTCAGAGTTTTGCATATTGTGCTCAAAGAAGAGTTTATCAGGATCTTCTCATACAAGAGGTGTCAGAAATATTTAAGCAATAATCATCCTCGCCTAAAAACCAATATTTATAGTCACTTGGTACCGTAATTAAAAGAACAGAAGTAGACATAATTACAAAATCTCATCGAAAACACTTCAAAACAGAAATAGAGTGAAAAAGGGGTGATGTTGCTCATATTCTATGGGTGTAATGTGAGTCTATCAAGCCATTGGCTATTCAGTACGAGGAATTACTTTTACAATCATAGCAACTAAACCTTGTTCCAAATCAAGTTTGTTATAAAAAAAAAACTTAAGGAAACAATTTTCAATTTAATCAACTAAAAAGACAAAAAAAAAAAAAAAAACCAATGAAGAAATTAAAAGAAGGCTCAGAGTATTGCATAATGTGCTCAAGGAAGAGTTTATCAGACTCTTCTCATACAAGAGGTGTCAGAAATAATTAAGCTTTATTCATCCTCGCCAAAACCAAATACTTACAAAATCAATAACAAAGAAATAAAACACTAACAGAGATCCTAAATAGAAAACACAAGTTAAAAGCGGCCGAGAAAGACTCATACGAATTAGGGTTTTTGTTTCAGTTAATGATGAAGAAAGCTGGAGAACTATGAATCGTATATATAGATTCTTAATGGGCTTATTTAATTTAAAGCCTATCAAAATGTTCCAACTTAAACCTTGGTGATCTTATATTATTTATCAGAAAGATTAAGATTATAAGCCCATTAGGCCGACGTAACAAAATTGATCTAAACATCCTAGGTTAAGAGTAGTCAAGAGGAACTAAACAGTCATCTTGCTTACATTGTCCAGCAAGCTTCTTGATTCATGTGCAGTTTTACCGTCATCTCTCCCTCTGATTGATCTAGCTCTCATCTCCTTAAGCTTCTTTTACGGACACTCGCCTTTACGCCCTTAATTCTGGTTTCAACTTCTTTCTTTTCTTTTGTGTGTTTCATATACTTGAGCTTGAAGGTAACGTTGAAAGTAGTAGTGAATGGGCATTTGACTGTATAAAACTTCTCCCATCATATAATTTCTGAAATGATGCTTATTTTCATCTGAAATTTTTTTCTTGTAATTGGCTCCACTGTGATAATATAAAGTTTGGATAAAATGGACACCAATAATAGCCTAATAGTTTTCTCAATATGGTCGGATTTACACAAACGCAACCATAATATTCCTTCAATCCTCACCAAACACCAATCTCCGATTCATGTCTTTTTTTTCAGCTAGACATTTCAATAAACATTCAAGACCAAAAAGAAAACGATTCAAATTATAATAATTTCTCAAAAGTTTTTTTCTTTTTTTTTCGAACACAATTTTTCTCAAAAGCTTAATCAACAATTCTCATAAGCAAAACTATACTAACTCATTCTTTTAAGCAATGGAAACCTTAGCACCAGCTTCCTCAAGCTGCTTCTTAGCCTCTTCAGCTTCATCTTTAGTCACACCTTCCTTAAACTTCTTAGGCAACCCTTCAATCAACTCTTTAGCTTCCTTGAGCGCCAAGCTAGTCAAAGCCCTAACCGCTTTAATCACAGCAATACGCGAACTGCTCGGAACTTCGTTAATAACAACATCGAACTCCGTCTGCTCCTCCACCGCAGCAGACGCACCACCACCGTCTCCCGGAGCAGCGACAGCCGCTGCAGCGGGAGCTAGAGAGAGCGGTGACACACCGAACTTGTCTTGGAGGTAGTCCACGAGGACGCGGGCTTCTAAGAGGGTGAGGGATGAGATCTCGGAGCCTAAATTCTCGATCTTCTCAGGAGCTTCTACGGCGGCGATGGGGCGGAGATTGGTTGCACGGTGAGTGAGGGTAGAGGAGGAAGCGGCGAAGCGAAGTGGGAATTTGAGTGTGGTGGGTCGGGAGAGGAAGTTATGGGAGGAAGTGAGAGTGGGAGAAGATGAGGTAAGGAGTGAGCTTGCGATGGACAAAGTCTTCGCTGCCATTGTTTTTCACTCTTCTTCCTCTTGGGGATGTGTTCGGTTGTTCTGTCCGAGTGTGTTTATGTGTGGGGGGGGGGGGGGGGGGGAAGATGTTGATGATGAGATAGGAAAATAAAGGATAAGGGATATTTTGGACAATTTTTCCTCATGGGGATGTTGTTTGATGGTCGAATTTTTTTAAAAAAGGGGCGTTCCGAGAATCGAACTCGGGACCTCTCGCACCCAAAGCGAGAATCATACCACTAGACCAAACGCCCTTGATGTTGAGATGAGTCATTCACTCAATTAGTATAATATATCTTCAAAGTTTGTAACTGTTGTAAAAACTTCTTTGTTTCGAAAGAGGCATATACTAATGTAGCTTTTTACAGTTTCTACTTTCTTGACTAGAATTTGTTATTTTTGTTTTTTTTTTGTATCGCCAGTCTTATACAATGTTGTCAATATTCTTTCATGTAACTGTAGTGAGGCTCATCGATGAGGGCAATGTCCCCAATGATCTAGAGTAAGGCCTGAGAATAAAAAGGCTAGAAGCAACTAAAATAAGTAAGGCCTGTTAGTTGAAAAAAACTTCTACAAATGTGTACTATGGTCTATGAGAAATGAAAGCTTAAATGGTGTACTGCACCTCATCTATAAAGTCTCACATAGTAAAAAGAGAAAAACTATCTAGACAAACTTAAATGGTGTTTGTTTAAACTATGCTACGAGCCCAAGCTCCCAAGCTCCCAAGACATCATAGATTATACTAACCTAAGCCCCACTACAAACTTAGAACCGATTTTTTCTGTCTACAATTACAAATGTCACATATCTTCATATCCGAGAGTCTAAAAGTGCCATTGTCTGAAACAGTTATAGGAAACGTAAACTGATTCACATTACAATATTTTCTCAAAGCTGAATCAATAATTCCAGAAAAAAAAAGAAAATCACTTTTCTAAAAAAAACAATAATCAAATTTTTAAAAAGTTAAGCAATAGAGACCTTGGCGCCAGCTTCCTCAAGCTGCTTCTTAGCTTCTTCAGCTTCATCCTTCGTCACACCTTCCTTAAACTTCTTAGGCAACCCTTCAATCAACTCCTTAGCTTCCTTCAACGCCAAGCTAGTCAAAGCCCTAACCGCTTTAATCACAGCAATACGCGAACTACTCGGAACTTCATTGATAACAACATCAAACTCAGTCTGCTCCTCCACCGCAGCCGCCGCACCACCACCGTCTCCCGGAGCAGCCACAGCCGCTGCAGCAGGAGCTAAAGATAGTGGAGACACACCGAACTTGTCCTGAAGGTAGTCCACGAGGACACGTGCTTCTTCTAAGGTCAGAGAAGAGATCTCGGAGCCTATCTTCTCGATCTTCTCCGGAGCTTCGACGGCGGAGATGGGACGGAGGTGGGTTGCACGGTGGGTGAGTGTGGAGGAAGGTGAGCCGATGCGGATTGTGTTTGGTCGTGAAGGGAAGCCATGGGGAGAAACGTGAGTGAGATGAGAGGAGGAGGTGAATGTGGTTGCGATGGTAAGAGACGTTGCTGCCATTGTCACTTCTTTGGTTCGTGTCTCTCTCTGTATGTGTTGGTTTTGATTGTATACGAAAGATAGATGAGGAAGATGAGAGGATAGAAAAATGAAGGATAAGGGGTATTTTAGTCTACGAATAAATGCTTATCCTTGCTATGGTACACATATCAAATAGTTATGTAATCTCAATAATTTCTTACGTGTCGCGTTCACGTTAACTCGAGAGTGGTTGATTACATAGATACCCTTAATGAATTGTTAGATTTTAATATTATTATTAATTTTTATTTAGTTTTTTTTTACCTTTTTCCAAATAACATATATAATAAAAAGGAAATCTTTCTAAATTTTAAATCAAATTTACAAACGAAAATATATGTATATAATATGAATTTATTAAAAAGGAAAGTTCACAAAATAGTTTTACCCCCATTTAAATATATTTTTAAATAGCATAAAATATTTTTTCAAAATAATGAAAATATATATGTTCATGAAAATTCAAAAATTTATAAATTATACTTTATTTTCTACTATGTTTTAGAAATCAACATGTAATTTGATAAATATTATGAAAATACATGTATATTTAAGCGATAAATCTTTATAATATTATTTGAGAAGTCACTTTTTTATGTGTCGCACTCACGTTAACTCTCACGCTGGCTGATTACTATGATACCTCTAATAAATTAAAAATACATTTAAATATTATTATTTCTTTTAAAAACAATTCCAAATAACAATATAAAATAAAAAGGGGAAATTTTATAAAGTTTACAAAACTAGTTAAAAACGAAAATATAAGTATATATAAATATGGTTTCATAAAAAAGAAAAGTTCACAAAATAGTCATATTTAATTTAAATATATTTTAAATAACATAAAATATACTTTTGAAGTAATAAAATACTTTATATCTATATTTTCTTAGATGAAAAACAATATTTGTATATAATGTGATTCCATAAAAAAAGCTTACACAACTAATCTTGATAGTATAAAAATAAATAATTTTAAACAATAAATATATATATATATATATATATATTTTGAAAATAATTATTTTTTGTATATATCTATCTATTTTAATAGATACATGAAATAATTAAGTAACATAAACTGATATATGTTTAATTGACAATTTTTTTTATAATTAGTATTCTTGAAACATTTTTTTAATTTTTAGTATATATATTTGACTAAATATCTTACAATTACAGCAAAAATATAAATTCTATTTTACTTATATAATATAATTTCTGAAAAACAATAACATTTTTACTGCATCTTTTAAGAGATATTAAAAATAAAACTAAAAAATATTTTAAGAATAAATATTTTTGATCAAATAACTAAAATTATTTTAAAATATCATAACACTATATAATTTAAGGAAGTAGATATATTATATTTTAATAGTTATATGTTTCTTAATAACTCTTTTCATTTTTAATATTATGTTTTTATGTATGTGGAACTTAATGTAACTATAATCAAAATACTTAAGCAAATCAAAATCCTTATTTTTCAAATATTTAAAATAAATTTCAGTTCACAATCCAATCAATCTAAATATGTAAATATTGATATGTGTTCATAAGCTTCCAAAAATTTATTATTTACTTATGTATGTAATTTAGAATCACACAATTTAGTTTTTGTTTTTTTTTTTATCTTTCTAAGCACAAAAAGTCTTAAGTTATACATATCTAACTAGATATATTTATATTTCTAAAATAACAATCGGCATAAATTTAAATAAGATAATTAATCAAACATTTAATATATTTAGAATAAAAAAAATTATAGTTGAATTCAGAGAAATAGATAGAAGCTGATATATCCATATGATAACTAATCAACCGAAAAACAATAAAACTGACGAAATATAATATATGTAAAATTAAATATATAATTAAATTAATATAATATTATTATTAGAAATTATACCTACAAATTATAAATTAATTTAAAATTTAAAGTAAATATCAAGAAATTATTATAATATATTTATTTTATAAATATTTATGTCCGTGCATGAGCACGGGAAAATCACCTAGTTTTCAGTATTTGTGAATTCTTTCATACACTATTTCATAAGTATTTAATTTTTTTATTTGATTTGATTCGTAAAAATATAGATATCTGCTTTTAGGGATATTCTAGATATTTACGAATATTTAGAGATATTTACGGATATCTTATCTGATTTATTCAATATAAGTAAATCTAAAAATAAACTATATAACTTTGTTTTAAGAAAATATTTTACATAATATAAAATAAAGATTTAAATTAATGAAACTATATGTAATAAAAAAATTTCCAACACAATTTTTAAAAAGAAAAATTGTAGGTTTCTATAAAGATTTTATATTCTTTTCTTAATTTAATTTTTATAAGAAATTTTATAAATAAAATTATATATTATAATATTTATATAAGATTATACATTTCAAACTCTATATTTAATTATAAATATACATATCTTATATAAAAGATGGAGTGGAGCAGGTATATATGTTTCTAAGTTTTTTAGTGTTTGTAATTTACTTCTTTTTTAATGGATTCTTAGTATTTGTTTTGATATGAAAACCTACGGAACTGAAATTTTTGGATTGAATCGAAACGAATAACAAATAGAATCAAATTTAGTGAAATGATGTTACTCGCGGATTGTATTTGTTCACTTACAGTTATACCCCTCTTAGACTTCCTTGTAACTTGTAAGTGAACGGTGGATGTTAAGTTAAAAAGAAACTGTTACACTAGAGCTAGACCGTCCATCTGGACAAAACTTAGCAGTTTGGAGATTAGACCCAGCTTAGCTTTTCGCTTGCTTGAATCATTATTGGTAAACAGATTATAACAATAGCAGACCGTTTGAATGAAGTTGCTAAACTAAAAGTAAATATTTAAATGCATCTTAATTGCAAACTTGGAAACTGATTAGGTTATAGCAAGCTAGCAAGTTTAATTCCTGATGCATGAAGTAAGATTTGATTGCATGATGATACATAAAGATATCATGTGATGTGATAAACGTGTTTCCTACATCAATAGCAAAATATATTAATGATTTCAATCACACTATACAATGTTGATTCTTGTGGACTTGAACTAAAAACCAGTTATCATCCTTCGTACGAGTATTTCGTAATATATATTTTGGACCTTTTGGTAGTAACTTTAGGAACAGAGACAACAATAAACAAAAAAAAAAATACTTTCGATTCGGAACGAAAAATCGTGAATCGGGCTTTATTTACCCTTTGGGTTCTTCCAACAATATACATGGGCCTTCTCTCGCATGCAGGCCATAAAGGTAAGAGATAGCACATCGTGAAAAAAACATAAATTTTTTGTTCTTATTCGCATTTAAATTTTAGTGATTTACATATAATGTTGGAGTCTGAATTCTTTTTTTTTTTTTTAATTAGAAAAGAGGTAGTACTAGTAAGTATTTTTTTTTTTAATCTTTACTAGTTTCTCCCACCAATATCATGAGTCTACAAAGTACATAAAATATTGAATGGATATTTTGACCTTAGAAAAAAAGAAAAAATTTAAGCAAACGCACAACTGTAACCGTTGTTTGAATGAAGATCCGCACATCCAAGGAAAGATTTGTCACTGGTAAAAACTTTATCACAACCAAGGAAAATAACCTACAAATTTTAGGTTTAAGAAGGCTTTCCATAAGTTCAACAAGGGTTATTGGAATATTTAAAAGCTCCTTGAACTTGAAATTTGTGGTATGTTATAAACTTAAGATTTAATTGATTATTTCAAAAACGACGCATAAATTGTCCTATTTCTGAGATTTTTTTTTTCTTTTCCTTTCATAACATTAATTTGATAGATATATAGATATTATTTTCATTCTTATTTTTCATTTTTTTTGTAACTGATATTTTTTTGTAACTGTTATTTTTCATTTTTCTCAGTTCATTCTGTTATTCTAAACTAGTACTCTTTCTATTTCATTGTAAGTGTCACTTTGATATAATTTACGTAGATTAAAAAATATACTAGTATGACCTTATTTAATATACAATTATTTAAATAAAATGAGTTTAAAATATCTATTGATTAATTAAAAATATAAGAAAGAAATTATATGTGAAAATGTATTGAAAATGTAAAGTGGCATTTTTAAAAAAATAAGAAAAAATTTAGTAGAATGACATTTATTTAGAAATAGAGGGAATACTAGACATCATTGGTATGTATCGAGGAGGGCCGAACATCTCTTAGAGATAGATTTTCAGGCAACAAACAATAAGTTTGTATGGCAAAAATAAATAAATAATTAAGTACCAACAAAATTTATTCTTCTTTTATATGAAAATGATTTATTCTTTAATTAAAAGTAATCTAACCAATAACTAGATAATCTCAAAATCATCTATGATACGTCGGCTTCAACATTAACTGGATAACTATAGTTAAAATATGTCAAACTCATCGACATGGGAAGAAAGTGACTTATGCTATATGTAGAATGAACAGCTAAGTCATGAGGACAAGAACAATGCTACAAGTAAATAAATGAACAAAAAAAAAGATGATATGAAAACCCCAATTCTTCACGTTTAACATATTTGATATTTGTAAATGCGAAGCCACTTGTATGTTGTGACCGACCCGCCATGTGATTTTTCCTTTATGGTTCACATGGGAAGTCGGCAATTCTCACATGCTAAAAACGTTGGCCTAACAAAATGAAAAACATGTGGACATTCATTTCAATTTCAAAGTTATATCTAAGATAAAATATATTATAAGCATAATGCTAAGTTCCTGAACATATAAGAAATATAAATGTAGCATGGAATTTGGATATAATTGAGCAACTTTGGATTGATTCGAGATTGTATATTAATTATACACATTACGTACTGAAGTTTAGCTCAGATGAATGTTAGACAAAACTTCATTTTGAGAAACCATTTTACATATCTTATATCAAAAAGTATAAGAGAATATATAGTAAATTCACATGACGTACTACATTCATTTACTTAAACTATTGAGGGTGAAAGCAAATAATGTTATATGAATAAATTGGTCTATAATGTAATTTTTATAATAAGGCCTCTCAGTATGATAATCGATATAAAACACTTATCATCCGATAAAAGCATCATATACATTTAAAAACAAGTTAATAATGAATGAATTGTTCCATATTTATATATTACTGAATTGTATTTCTTTTAATTTCCCGCAAAATGTAGACGTCATAAATTAATACTTGTACGCGCATACTTTTTCAAAAATTAAAAGTTTACATATTCAAATATATTAGAGAACGTACATATACATATATATAGTGCCCGTCGAAAAATGAATGAATTGTTAATTATTCCTATTCTAGCCAATGCATAGAAATAGGAAGTGAAGCTTGGATTTATCCTCTGCACATGCTTCATTCGGACAAAATGTGTCGTTAGCTAAAGACTTAAAGTTAAGAAATTCGGTAAAGCTTAAATGCTTTTGCCTTCTTGCTATAGTGCTTACACATCCCAACCTAACTTCATGTCCCAGTTTCCAATTATTCTACCCAATTTAATTGTAAAAATAATACATCTACCTCATCTTGGCTTTATTATCATATAAATTTATATAAAATTACAGCCCAGTTACTCATTTAAGTTCCTAGCTAACCTGATCTTATTTTTCCTCCCATGTTGGTATGGTTTTAGATGTAAATACTTACGGTTTTGACGCATTGATTCAAGTATAAAAAAAGAGCCATCATATAATTTATTTGTTTATTTCTTCTAACAAAAGAAAATTTGATATCTTCATCTTTAAGGTTGTGGTTTTGGCAAGTGGAGTTAGGCTCACGTCGGGTTCTACACGTTGAATGGCGATGCCCAAAAATGGATAAAAATTGATGAATAAAGGCAACGTGATCTGTACCAAAAGCTTTCTATATATATCCCACATGTGACACCTTCTTCCATTGGTGAGATTAGGTTCTATATGTTTGTAATGTGATATGTACATACATCGGTCCACATGTATGTATACACACGCCTAACTCATGTCTATATGTGTGCATATATATATGAACGAACAATCAAGATTCTTCTAAGTTTCATCATACACTTAAAACATTTGCTCTGTTTTAACTCTTCTTTTACATGTATATGGCTGTGTTTAAAACTTTTAGCATTGCAGAAATAATTTTTGTAACTGTACAAGTATGTGTACTGTATAGATTCAGATGTGTGGTTATTGTGATTGGTTAATGGATGTTTGTATCTGTCGACCATAACGTTAAATATGCTGATAAAAGCTCATGTTTAGTAGATCTACCACGTCTACTATGTTTGGGATCGAACAAAATATCCCTTTTAATAAGTTTGGAAAAAGGTTTATTTACTATACTCAATCATTTGCTATGAATCCACTGTTGCATAAATATTGTTTATGTATTAAGAATATTGATGTTTTAATTAATTGTTTATTTACAAGATTCTCTACATTAATAATGAAGTGAGTTAATGATAAATATTTAAATAAAAAATAATTAATATGTGCCTTAACTTGTGTAAAGGAGAAATGGTGTTTAATATAGTTATTGGGAAACAAAAAGTATGTAAAATAAACATTAAATATATGTTAAATAGCTAAAATGTTAATCTTTCAAATATATATGAAATATAAAGTTACTAATACGATCATTAATTTTACTAACGGAAATCAATTACTCTCTTCGTTTTATAGAGATCGACTGGTCATGTTTATAAGCTTTATCCATGAAAAATATTGGTTTGTTAGATTTTATGAAATTATACAGATGCTTCCAAGATAGGTTTGTTAGTTGGTATACAATTATATATATGTGTACATATATTTAATATTTGATTAGGATGTGTGAAATCCTCCAGAAAAAATATCGCTATATAACAAAGGGAATAAATAAGCAAACGTTCATATCTAAATGTATAAATCATAGGTAAAAACTCATATACATGACTCATGAACATTCCTGAGACAAATTATTTAAGTAATGCAAATATAAATCCCAAAAATAGATGACCCCTTCCAGTTTTATTTATGTATAACATCAAACGGAGTTCAAATTTTACGTATAAATTATATATCCAAACCTCTAAACAGCGAGGCAAAACCCATATACATGTCACGTACTAATTACAGTACTCCTAAAAATCACAAATCTCAAAGTAATATTCCATATTTCCGATCCATCTTGATTAATCAATTACCATTTAGTAAATGCATTGATGACCAAATATCATCTATGCCCCAATAGTTTTCACCGGTTTGATCATCGACGGTCATTGGAATCGAATAATCTGTGGTCGCAGTCGCTGTCACTGTCGCAGTAGCCGCAGCCGCCGAGTAATTACCATAACTGAAATTCATATTGGTATGTTGATACGACGTAGTTGTAGGAGAATATGTCTCCATCGCTTGATCTTGTGTGCAAAAGACATTATGGTTCGATGTACTTGCAACTTGATCATTGATTTCTGAGCTGTGATGAGATCCAATGGAAGATGTTGTTGTTGTTGCTGTCACATCGGTTTGTTTGATGTATTTTTGGATTCTTGTCCTCCAGAAATTCTTGATCTCGTTGTCGGTTCTTCCTGGAAGATGTTTAGCGATTTTCGACCACCTGATCATATGATTAACATTTAACTGATTATGACATAGCTATTTAATATATACCATTAATATGTTTAATTACGATGATGAGGTAATGATTGATGTGGGTCTAGCAGTCTAATTCGTGACTGCATCAGACCAGTACATGTATATGAATCCAAAACATTAAGGTTTGAGTCTATTTCAGTGATGATTTATCTATTTGTCACGAGACTTATTAATTTTGTACTATTACTACATGTACTATGTTTGGATATTATTTCTTGATAATTTTTGTCTGCTGCTAATAAGCCTTATAAAGTTTACGCTTATTCTTATTGTATAAGGGTTACTTTTGTTTGTTAAATGGGATAAAGTGAATTCTATGATTTATTAAAAGCTGGTATTGTATCAATAAAGTAAATTAAAAAGATGTACGAAAGTGACGGTAATTTGAGACCAACAAAAAGTAATAAAGTAAGAATTAGAAAGTCTACAAAAAGTAACAAATAAAGAATTAGAAAGTTTGTGCACAAAATGATAATAATTAGAAAGTCTAATTTAAGAATTATGAAAATTTTGTAAATAAGATACTTTCAGTTGAATTAGAGAATCATGTACCTTTTAACATTGAGCCATATTTTCCAGCTCTTTACATATAAAACAACATAGAAATAGATATCGGATAAAACAAAGAGACAAGGATATAAATTAATCCGAGTAAGTCTTTCAGAAATTGAGAATTCACTTGAACACTTACGAGACTTTTATATTCTTTATAAATCATTAAAAATGGGGATAGCGGACGTGTTTCGGTAGAAATAGGCACGAGGTTTTCATGTTGCTTTGATAAAAAGCACGAGGATACTGTTAAGTGTCAAGACAATTTCGACATGTGCAAAAACGTAGAATTGACGGCTAAGAACAAACGCTTTTTTTCTTTTGCTTTGGTCACACAAATGTGTTGCGTATCTAAACGATTCTAAGTCCGAAGATTTTGCCTTTGTTATTTCGTTACACGTAGCGTGTATGTATATCTATAACTTTCATTTGTGTAAATTAAAAACAAACCTGTTTCCCCACTTAGCATGAAGTTCCATGATGGTAAGTTGCTCCTCCGGCGTGATGTTTCCACGTCGTACGTCAGGGCGGAGATAGTTGAGCCACCGGAGCCGGCAACTTTTTCCGGTGCGTTTTAGACCTATATATTTATATAAGCAATCATCATGGTCAATTATTGACTCGTACGGACGTGCATATCCACATAAGTAATTAATATACACGTGTGTATTAATGCATATGTATGTATTATAGATATGCATGCTTATCAAAACACTGCGATTAGATATATTTTAATTATCATGCATAATTTATTTTCAACACTAGGCCATTAAAAGAGAATTTACACATAAGTTTGGATTTTTAGAAGGATATTTAGCAACGAACGAATATATATAAAAGTTTTTTTTGTCGCATAAAATAATATTTACTTGTTTTTATCAAAGAATATATAATAAGTATGATTTATATATGTATATAACTATTCAAAATAAAATATAGTTATGTATGATGATACCTCTGCATGCTATCAAGTAATCTTTAGTTCATATACTAAATACAACGTAAAAGAAATATATATTTTATTGGTGATTTTTTGCTTAAAAAAATTGTTGGTGATTATTAAAAAGAAATTAAATGAACCTGCAGATTTGGCGAGAGTGTTCCAAACGCCATCGCCGTGGTTGGCGATATAGTTGATAAGAATAAGATCTTCTTCCATCGTCCACGGTCCTTTTCGCACCTCTGCTTCTCCTGATGATCCCGAACCTCCACTACTTATTCCTCCTATTTTCTCCATTTTGCTACTATGTATTTATCTATCCACACGTTCGAGATTTATATAATTTATAGCTAGAGAACTAGGAATATAAGGAAAGAGTGAGAGAGTAAGAGAGAAGGTTGTGGTGGGTTGATATTGAAGGTTGTGGAAGGTGATCTATTGCTTTTATAAAGACAAATTTCACCGCGTGATTAGCAACTCTTAATCCAAATTCTTAATTAATTAAAGTAATTAGATTAAAATTTCAGTTAATCATAAATTCAATATTGATTTTCCTCCTCAAAAAATATTCTTAATTCTTAGGGATAATAACACATATGAATATATATCACTTCACGACCTAACCATAGACAATAAGTAGTTTCATCATCCATGTACAGTATAACCTCTATAAATTAATACTCGCTAAATTATTAATCTCTATAAAATAATAAATTTCATCGGTCCCAACTTGGGTCGGTGTAAAATATGACACAAATCGATAAAATGATAAGATAATAACATTTTTAAAACTACCATGTAAATATATAGTCCCATTAAAATCATAAATTAATAATCTATATATATAGTTTTATATAAGTATAATCTAACATTATATTGTTAGTTTTATATTTACAATAAAAATATTAATATATTTTGATAATATTTAGTTAAATTATATCGAAAACCACATAAAAATTCTATGAAACATTAAAATATATATCAAATAAGATAATAAAACAATATAAAAATCAAAATTCTAAAATTTAAATAAAATACATCTACGAAAATCAGATATTTTTTGACTTTATAAATAAAAATGGAAAAAACAGAAAAAATCTAAATAAAGAAATTTTTGGTAAATTAATATCTCTATAAATTAATAAAATTTCAAAGTCCCAACATTATTAATTTATAGATGTTTTACTGTATATTAAGAGAGTCTTTGATGACATTGATGCATTCATGCGTGGATGACACACACACACACATTCATGCAGTCATTTAGTTTCACATACATATGCATGCTTGCTGATGTGAATGTATTAGTTTGGATTTCGAATGAGACACCCAAAAAAAGAAGAAGACATCCATGGCCCCTATATGATTGAAATTAGTGGTTTGCTATTGGCCCAAAGGTAAGACATAAATATGTGTCAATTGCATTATCTTTACTAGCAGAACTCATATATTATTTGCAATGTCTCATATTTTATAGTCGAAGTCGCATATATGTCATCTTAAGATTGGTTTACAAGTAAATCAAATTTATTAAATAAACTAATCAGTTATTAAGCACATAAACAAAAAAACTAGGCAATTATTATCCTTATTAGACGATTGTATACATGTTGGAAAAACAGATTGTACTTATATAAAATTTAAGAACACACTAATTGTATGAAATGAATATCTATTTTCATTTTTCAAAATGATAATACTAAATATATGTTCAGTTTTTTGATGTTATTTGTAGTATGAGTTGGCTTTAACCTTTTAGATATAAAAACTAAACCAACAAAGCTGAATTAAGCGTTAATAACATGAACATGCATGTATTTTTGTTAAAAACATGTTTGACATTACTTAGTCTAACTAGCTTTTATTACACCAACTTAAATTTAATTAGCTATAGGTACCAGAACCGATCGATTAGTAAACAAAATAAGTACATAGAAAGTACAAAGATGGAGACGCAAGAAGATCTTGACTCTCTAAAAGTTAACTCAGTCTAATCCCTACGAAATTATAATCCACTTATCATAAAAAAGCGACAAGTGACTAACTCCTAACTTAATAAAAAAACCTTTTAACATCCAAATTAGCCAGAGAAAGACACTTTTATATTTCGTTTGGAAAATACTTGCTTTTGTTGCCACATCCACTCTCTTTTTATGCCTCATAACATGCAGTTATCTATATAAAAGAAAAAGCTGTGATTAGATGGACTTTAACGCAACCTATACACATCTGCCAGCATTATTGTTTTTTTGTTTTTTTGATTAAAGCATTATTGTTTTAGCCTTCAATTTCAAATGCAGTTTGAAAATACTATACACAAAAGTTATTTAAAAACTTCAAATTGTTTTAATGAATAATGATGCTCTTAGATTCACAAGAGTAATTATATCTCTTCGTTTAGTCAAAGAATTTTCATACTTGAAAGGGTACTTGATTTGGCAAATCATCCAAAAAGGTTGAGTACTCTTAAACCACTTTTAAGAAAATCATTTTTCTGTGGCTGCAATTTATTTAGGTAGAAATACTCTTTAGACGCGTCAAAAGCACTTCTCTTGTGTCGACTATCACGGCAAATCAGTTTGCTCTTTTCGTGCAACAGAAATTCATATTAATTGTCTTTTTAACTAGTAGTTTTCGTTTAATATACTTTTATGGATTAGGAAAAAATATATATTTGTTTAAGTACTTAAATTTTAAATCTGTAACTTCTATAATTTTTATAATAACTCAAAAATAAATATTTTATAAAGTCGAATAGTCAAAACATATATATTTGATTCAGATTAAGTAAATTTTTATTTTCTATTTTGTAATTCATTAAAATGTTGTTATATATTTATTAATAAAAAATATTGATATCTAGTTTAGTGATACGACTGCGCAGCAGCGATCTCATCATAACTTGTACTCTAATCAATCCTGAGTTTAGCATAGAGTAAACTGTAAATGAAAATAAATTATTTAGAATTTCATCTGATTCTCCACATAGAAGACAAGCTTGATGTAATATCTCACTGTCTCATTACGAACACCCGTTAATCAAAGATCACTCATAATTTTATTTGGATCAGAGATTAAATGATCACCAGTTACAATCCAAACTTGGAGTCTTGGACTCGTGTTTAAAAGTTTTTCCTTAAACATCTTTTTAGGAAGCTGCGTTGTACATCAAACAATGTACGAATGGACTCGTTTAGAACCAATGGCACGCTTTGGAAACTAAATACTATTAGTGCTCCTGTACATAACGATTTCTTTTATTTTTATTTATATATTTTTTGCTAAAATTTGGGATTTTTTTTTTTTGGAAAAGGAAATTAGCAGAAACTGAAAACGGGGACTCCTCTCACTATCACAATAAGCAGATGTTTAGAAAGGTATGCGTATTGCTTTATGTTATGTCATGTATGATTTAATGGAAAGACTGACTGTAAGTAGGAAAAAACAAAAGCTTATGGGGTTTAATGGTGTCAACTCAAGTGACTTAAACTTCATTTATATAAGTGGCTAAAATAGTTGCAACTTTGAACTTACAAGCATATATAGGATCATCAAGTAGGTGTGTGTGGGGACCTTAAGAGATGGAGGAACACATGCATATGAATATGTGATCTCAACAAGTAATCTTGTATCAACCAATAAAAATAAGTGATTATTTTCTCTATAAAGTTTTAAGTTTTACAGGAATTTGTGCTGTAGATTCATGCCATATATTATTTTTATATATGTGGCGAATACTATTACGAAATTTGTGGATAGAAAGTTTGTTTATGGAAAAGGCCGGCCAATAATCTTATAAGATGTTGTAATCAAGGACAACCACATTTTATTTTCCTATTGTTGTTTTTCACTAGAACATTCAGCACTCCAGAAAATAATATTGTTGATTATAATAACTATATATACTAGGCAAGGAATCATGGCACAAAGACTCATTTTATAAAAACAAATATACCAAACTGTATAACTTATATTTTTATAAGAATACTGTTTATTTTTTTTTAACAAAGTCTTTGTAACATATGTACAATATAGATTACATGTGTCTATATTTATTTATACATGCTATTAAAATTTTATATTAGTTTTAACATTTAAGATTATAATTCAATCTAATATACCAATACTAATTTATATATATATATAAATATATCTTATTATTATTTTGTAAGTTATTTAAAATTATAAATAAAATCTATATATTTAAAACTAATTAAAATAAGCAAACACATTTAAACCTAATCATTTACTAAACTAACTAAATTAAGACCTCCACTTTGTGCAGAGTAAAATTGTTATTAAAATATAAAATCACATAAAAATCATGAAATATAAATGGTTAGTCTTTTCTTTTGTGACTTGAAAATTTACATTTGATAAACTTGAATTTCATACTAATCCCTTGTAGACTAAATATTTTAATCGCATGAAATTTTAGAATTGTATCTTAAAATGGTAGATTAACATATATTAATATATTATATTTTTAGTATGACTATTTATTAAATATGTTTTTATTCATAATTTATATTTTATAACAATAATGTTAAATCCTTGATAAAAAAATTTCCAATATGGGATTTTTAATAGTTTGAATAATTTAAAATCATTTTATAAATTTCAGTGAAATTTTTTAAATTAAAATATTAAATTCTCAATGCTTGTTTAATGAAGATTAATGCAAATATTTTTAATATTTATGTATCTTTATTTGGTATATAGTTTATTTTAAATGATATTAATATATATAGATATTTTAGTCTAAATATTTATTAAATAAGACTACCTATTCATATAGTTTTATAATCAATTTTATCTTGTTATAAATGTTTTTTAACCATTGATCAAAAAAAATTTCAAAGTGAGATTTTTAATAGTTTTATTAACCTATAGTCGTTTTTGAAAATTAAAAATATAACATATACCGAAAATTACAATTTTATTATAAGGTTAATATAATTGTTTATATATATTTTAGTAAAATAAAATTAAAATTATAGAGGATATACAAATTATTAGTAAATCTTTATTATTCAAAATCATTAATTTAATATATATATATATTAATCATATTAGGTAATTTTGTATATTTTATTTAAGTAAGGAATGAAGAATAGTTTTATACGTTAATATTAATTTTATGTTTAGTTTAATGAAAAATATAGTCTATAGTTAGATGCTATTTTAAGAGTTATTATTGTTCAATGGTTTTAATATTTATACACGTTTCATACTCAAAATTTTTAATTTTCTCAAATAATAGATAAACTATAAGAGATTGGCCTACTGAATGTTCTCATGTACTATCACTTCATTTACAAACACTAAAACATATAAAAATGAAGAACATTAAAAAAAAAAAATAAGAAATGATTTTGTATGTTATTCTATTTTGTTAGCAAGTACATGTATTTTAAATGTTAACTGAAAGATGAATATTATAACGAATAGGGAAAATATAAAATGTGTATGTCAACAGGTTCATGTGTTAACAAAAGATAAACATTTCCATTTCAATATATTCGTATCTGAACGTTATTTTATTTTAAACTAGGGGAGGGCCGGCGCTACGCGCCGGATATTGATGCTTGATCAAAAAAAAGACTAAAAAGAAGAATATTGTTTTTTTGATTTTTAAAATTTATTTTGGGTTGTATAAAAATGAACTCTATTTGTTTGAAAAGCATGGGTCTCAAACGAACTCCATTTTTCTTTTTAGAAGGAAGTTCTCGTAGATGTAGTGTTTACTACGAATTCTCGTAGATGACATGTTTAGTTGAAGTAATACTCATGCATATATAGTTGAATTTGGAAATTTTATTTTTTAAATGTGGTAAAGAAAATGCAAACGATAAGGTACTCATGTGAGGCGATGAAGTTGTACATGCAAACTTTGCTTATACTCAACCCCGATAATTTAAAATTTTAAAGTAACATAGAAGTTGAGTCTGTAGACGGTCAGAACGGATAGCTTATATGGTTGCTCTTCATTCCAGGAGGTCGTTGAAACCCATAATCATCTTGTAGAAGTGGATTAGCAAAGAGAAGTGGAAACACTTTGAACAGACCGTGGTTTCTCCTCCTGCTTCAAGATGACAGTTTAGATCCAGCCACATCTTGAGGATTGAGGTAACGCAGACATCTTTCATGTGAAGAAGGGGTGGTTGAACATGCTGGAAATCTGGCATGCAATCTTCCACCACTGAAACACCTTTCTCATCGGTGAGATGGTTAATGATGGTGACGCCTTTTGCAGTATGGCCTATTGCTAGGAGCAGAACACCGTAGACATATCTTCCTTGTAGGTGGTCACAGTCTGCGGCAATTTTTATGTGATGTAGACTCAGAGGCCGATTTTGGGATTGGAAGAATTGTAGAAATCCTTTAACAAAGTGAGCATCCGTGTTGTTGGCTTCGACGCAGGTTTCTAACAAATTTGTGTGTCGGTTAGCTAGAGCCGGTTTCTTTACAAATGATAGAAAAAGAAAATCTTTAAACATAACAAACTTGCGATCAACCTCAAAATTTTATTCAACAAATTTGTTCATGTTTTCATATTTGGTTCATTATTTTAATCTACTTATTACTAATTTAACATTTATATCTACTGACTGGGCTGTCAAACTTCTTCTAATGCATTTATCTAGGTATGTTCATTCCGGATTTTGGTCCGATTTCGGATTTTGTTTTTAGTTTTTTGGTATTTCGGTTTATAAAAATTAATTATCATATTGGATCCATATTTAATTTGGTTTGGTTTGGTTTATTTGGTTTTATACCAAAAAAATATAACTATATTTATCCTAGATAAAAATTAGTTTATATGATTAGAAATCAGATTGAATTAAACATAAATATATATTCCTTACAATAACTTTAAAATATAATATTTTTACTTTATATTTATATCATAATTATTTTTATGTAAATATATTTCTAAAACAAATATGTACCAATAAAAATCATGTTTTATTTAATTTGATGAAAATGAGAAAAACAAACAACTTTTTAACTTAAAGCAAAACACCAAATTAGTAGAATGGCTTAGATGTTTGAGAAAAATAGTTAACATAGTTATGCAAAAATGGATCCAAATAATCAGCTAAAGACTTGCATGTATATCTTTCCTCTCTATACATACAGATATGAATTGTCAAAGACTAACCTCAAATTTAAAATTGTCATTACTTTATTTTCAGGACGAACTGATGTAATGCCACCCTCAAGGAAAAAAAAGAAAACTTAACTAATTATCAAAATATCATAGTTTATTTAGACTTCAAAAAAAGAAAAAAAAATGCAGAATTTAATTAACCATTATTTATATTTTTAACTAATAAAAATTAAAATAATTATTTACTCAAACTATTTCAATTATTTTCGAGTATACATCCCGCCCGTAGGGCGGGCCGACCCTAGTATTATCTGAAAAAACAAATGGAGTGTGGATTTCCCTTGACACGTGAAGCTATGTCCTGCGTGCGTTCTTCTTTCCACTCTCATTTGGGTCAAGCAACAGCCAGCAGGTAGGCCTTTGGGTTTGGTTTATTCGGGTAGTTTGGGTCGGTTAGTTCGGTCAAGCAAAATGTCATTGAAGTGAACCGAAAAAATTGGTTTGGTTTCCAATTAGTTTGGTTTCAAAAAAATTTACCAAAGTTTTGTTTTACGGTTAGTTCAGTTAAACTTTCGGTTTAAATTGAAAAACAAAGTAAAAAAATTGGTTAATTTCAGTATATTTCGGTTCGGATTTTCGTAAGTTTGGTTTGGTTATTTCATTTATTTTGTTAATTCGGTTATTTTTTATTCGGACTTTGGTCAGTTCAGTTTTGAATTTCGATTAAAATTGGTACTGTCTGATTTTTTTAGAAAACCGAACTAACTGATTACCGAACCGAGCCTAAAACCAAAATTTTTTTTTACTGAACTGAACCCAACTTCCAAACTGAACTAACATAAAACCGAGCTTTTCAGTTCGGTTTGGCAAATTTAGTTTTGTCAAAAATCTTAGCCCTAGTTATAACATATATATAAATTGCATTTAGATACTAACTATCTGCTCAAACTTGAATATGAAGCAGACCGACAGAGGTATTGTTAGCCTTGAAATATTCTTGTGTTCTTTTTACATTAGATTCAAAGTTTCTGGTTGGATATGAAGGAGAACGACAGAGGTATTGTTTTTTTCTAAATTTTCTTGTATTCTTTTCCATGCGTTTCAAATTTTCTGGTGATAAACACTTAGTCATGAGATCATTATACTTTGTTAGCGATGCTAATGGATATATAGTGAACGGTTAGATTGTTAGATTCTTGTAAACACAATTGATAACTACACAGCCCTAAAGATGATATCCAGGGCCAGTCTTGCGGCAAACCTGATGAAACATTTGTGTTGGGCCTCCAAATTTTTCAGAAAAAGTTATATGTATATTGGCCCCGAAAAAAAAATTTAGGCCCTCAAATACGGTTTAAAAAAAAATTTTAGCTGAAATCGTTAAAATATCGCCTTAGGCCCCCGAAATCTCAGGGACGGCCCTGATGATATCTCGTGGACGTCTTGTAGGAGGTCTTCCATGTTTGAGGGGTTGGACTGTGAGAGTAAAGAACTCGTTGGTTTTATTGACTTAGTGACTGAGTTCACAACCGATTCGAGCCTTAGAAGCTCAAATTGCGGTGAAACTATATCTTTTTATATTATATTTCTAATTAAAAATGTTAAGTATACCCCAAAAGCTCCAGTCTAACTTTGTAAAAAATGTGGTTACCATGAAATAGTAGCACATTGAACAGGGGGGGGAACAAAACAATGCAGTATAAGACCTTTTCAATAATATCATTGAACTTGGGCTTTTTAATACCAGTAACAAACGTGCGTCACTATCATATAAATATAAAGTACTATTGCAATTATTCGTAATGCACTATCTCCCATAGACAAACATTAATATCATCAGAAAGAGGCTTGTCTTTAGTGTTACGTTTGTTGTAAACAAAACAAATCAACATGTCAAGAAAGAGTCACTCTTCTTTTATACAATATGCTACTCTTTAATATATACTCTTTTTCTTCACTACGATCCTTCGAATTTCATATTAAGATTATACCATGATGTTTCTTAAATCCCTACAAAATAGTATCAAAGACTGGACTAAAGATACTTGTTAATTTGTGTGACCTAAAAGAAAATATTAACTACACACCAAGAAAAAGGTGTCTTAGGGTAATTTGCAAAGCTGAAATTGGGGTAATAAAACTTTAAATGTGGATATGAAACAACGATACCTTCCCACCAGTTTCCTCGTGATGTGCTTTTGGAATCGCCTTCCTCTGTTAAAGATAAAGAAGAAAAGCAGAATTTTGAAACTAATGATACATATAAGGAGTACACGTATATGTAAAGAATATCATTTTTGTTAAGTTACTCACGTGGGTGATATATGTATGATAGGTGTGACTATGACTTACAGTATCTTTGGTGGTAGTCGTTGTAGAGGAATATTTCTTGTGTTGTAAATTGAAGAGCTTAAGTTGCATGGTGGTTCTGCTTCTTCATTAAGGTAACTGTTTTTTCTCCTTTTTATGGGCAATAAGTCCTGTGTAAATGCGGGACACATAAGAAAGAAGTATAATCCTTCACTCCAATTACTTTGGGGTTGATGCTATAGAACATAACAACATTTGGCTCAGAGCCATAGCTTTCAAATTTGCTATGAAAGGCGAAAGCTAAATAACACACATTTACATCCCTATAAAGATGCTATAGCAGCGTCACGGAACCAGATTTTCTAAATTCCCGAATGCTAAGAGTAGAAATGAACCTCAAACAGCTTCAGGTCAATAAGATATGTTACTTTTGAAACTGGTCCGTTTCCAGATATCATCAAGTCGATCTGCACCAAGAAATCAAGTTGTTTAACACTAAACCTCTAAAAAAAGATTGCAGCGAAATCAGCTATATCCAGCAAACACAAAGATCAAATATATACTTCATTGCCAATCCGGTCTCTGCTATTTTTTCTCCAAGAGCTACCCTCACTTCCTCAGTTGAAGCAGTTTGTTTCAGTTCTTGACCCAGAGTAAAACCAAATTTAGCACATATTATGGCAGTAGAATAACTCCCAGAGCTCAAATGAAAGATCTGGATGGACAGTGTTATGAAATGACTCCAGTCCTTTTAGTCAGATTCACAAATTTAAAGATAACCTGTCCTCGTGTAGCTTCCCACGGTGAACCCGAAGCAAGGCTGTAAACAAAGTTCTGTGACAAGAGTATCATGAGAAAAGAGGCGTAATATGATAATCAAGCATAGTAGCCTCTCTCACTGCTCCACCTATAAGCATTCGCAGCCTAATCTCATTCCCAGATGGCATTGGCCTAGTAAACGCTCCATAAGCTGCTAAGGAACTACATGACAATAAAACCAAGAAATGTTCAAACTTTCAACCTCCTTCTCTCCTAAACCACACCATCCAACAATGTTCCACAGATCTATTGACATACATTCAAATATTTTTTATGTAAAGCATCAAACTTTATATTGTAAACTCACTTGTAAGGTTTTGAACCAGCAGAAGAGTACTCATCCGTTGAAGTCAGATAAAGTAAAGCAACCCACCTAACTTCAACGCATATCTCATCGCTTTATTAGCCAAAGTATGCGTCATGACCCATCTCCTATCATCCCCTACACCTCTCTCTACTCTACTCTACTCAGATTCCCCGTGATTACCTCCCGATTCCCATCGTTAGCATCGCTCGTTACGGTAATGAATTGAATTTCTGGTTTCTCAGATATCACAGAAGAAGCACACCGATGGGAAGGAGAAGAGTCGGGGAAGAAGAATCAGATTCTTGTATTCGCCGGATAAGAAAAACAAAATGAGAGGTACACCCAATGAGAGTGTGACACGTGTCGCAAAACCCCCTATCAAGAAAAGGACGTGGCCGCTTGTGTGAGCAGATGGGTGAACTTTATTATTATAGATGTTGACTGATGCATGTATCTTAACTGAGAATATGGAAAAGTAATTTGTTAGCAAAAAATTATGTTTGATCAAAAAAAAAAATGAATTGGGAGCAATATTTTCTATGTTGGGAAAAATTATCATTATAATCACCTAAGACTCAAACCACTTTAATCTCCATATTACTGCATGATGGAGCTGTTCATTAAAACAAAACACCATATTTTTTTAATTTATATTGAAATATGTGGATTAGTCCCTACAAAAATATTAAATTTTCCAATAAATGATATATACTAAAGTTTAGCCTCTTTAGTTTTGTTTAAAAATACTTAACCATATTAAAAACTTCAATTAATTTATTAAATTTATGTTCATGGTACATGGACACAAGTTCTAATTTTCAACCGAAGAATTTAATAAAACTTCATATACCACCAAAATCAAAGAACTAAACCCTATAAAATCTCTATTTTCTATAGAGAATTCAGACAACTAAGGTATCAAAATTCTTTGAAATTCATCCTATATCAGTGCCGGATGCATCTATGCATAAATTAAAAGTTCCATATTTTATAATTTTTCTTGAAATCTATGTGTTAAACCCTACGAAAAGATCGAATTTTTTTTATAAATGTAATTTGTACTTAAGTCTCTTTAGACTTGTTTAAAATATCTAACCACATTAAATAATTATACTAATGTATCCTAAATTTATTTACATGATACATAGAAATCAGTTATAATTTTCCAACAAGTAACATAATAAAACTTCATATACCACTTAAATCAAAGAACTATACTTTATGAAATCTCTATATTATAGAAAATTGGGACAAGAAAGGTGTCAGGCATTATTGATCTTTATCATAATTCTGAGTTGGATACATTCATGCATTTAAAGAAGAATATCATATTTTCTAATTTATTTTGAAATCTGTGGATGAATCCCTACAAAAACGTCGAGTTTTTCGATAAATGTTATATAATGAAGTTTAATCTCTTTCTTGTTCATTAAAAAATACATAATCACATTATATATTTATATTAATGTATGTTAAATTTCTTTTCATGGTACACGAATAATGATTATAATATTCTTATGAATAATTTAACCAAATTTTATATTCCACCTAATTCAGTGGACTAACCCCTATAAAATCTGAAAGTTCTGGAGAAACGAGGACCAATAAAATCTTTGACCTCTTTAATTTTCATCACATGTAAGTGCATGATGAATTTATGCTTTAAAAATATTGTATTTCATAATTTATCTTACAAAAATATCAAATTCTTTCCAATAAATGTTATATATACTAAAGTTTAGTCTCATTAATGTTGTTTTAAAAATAACAGCGACACTCTAAATCTATTTTCATATATACTAAACATATTTACATGGTACATGAACATAATTTCTAATTTTCTAACGAGTATTTTTTTTTTAAAATTGAGATACATCCTAATTAGTGAACTAACCCCTATAAAAATTCTATTCTCTAGAGAAGCGGAAACACTTAAGGTCTTAACCTATTTAATCTTCATACTTTGTCAGTGTATGATGCAGCTATACATTAAAACAAAATATCATATTTTCTACTTTTCTTAAAATATGTGGGTTAACACCTACAAAAATCTGATTTTTTCGGTAAATGACATCTATAATATTTATCCTCTTTAGTGTTGTTTAAAAATACATAATCACACTCTAAATTATATATATGTATTCTAAACTTATTTTCATTGTACATGGCATAATTTCTAATTTTTTCAAAGAGTAATTTATTTAAACTTCATATACCGCCTAGTAAGTAGTTTAACTCCTATAAAAACTCTTCTTTAGGAGAAACGGGAACACCTAAGACTCAAACAACCTTAATCTCTATACTATGTTACTGCATGATGGAGCTATGCATTAAAAATAAACACAATATTTTCTAATGTGAGTTAACCCCTACAAAAATATCAAGTTTTTCAATAAATGTTATATATACTAAATTTTAGCCTCTTTAGTTTTTTTTAAAAAAAATACTTAACCACATTAAAAATTTATATTAATGTATTAAATTTATGTTCATGGTACATGAGGACCAGCTCTAATTTTCAACCGAGGAGTTTAATAAATCTCCATATACCACCAAAATCAATGAACTAAACCCTATAAAATCTCAATTTTCTAAAGAAAATTTAGACAACTAAGGTATCAAAACTCTTTAAATTCATCCTATATCGGTGCCGGATGCATTTATCCATAAATAAAAAAGTTCCATATCTTCTAATTTATCTTGAAATCTGTGGTTTAAACCCTACGAAAAGATTATAATTTTCCAACGAGTAATTTAATAAAACTTCATATACCACGTAAATCAAAGAACTAAACCTTATGAAATCTCTAAATTCTAATTTATCTTGAAATCTGTGGGTTAACCCCTATGAAAAGATATAAATTTTTTGATAAATGCAATTTGTCTCTTTTGTCTTGTTTAAAATATCTAATCACATTATAAAATTATACTAATATATCCTTAATTTATTGTCATGGTACATGGAAATCGATTATAATTTTCCAACAAGTAATTTAATAAAATTTCATATAACACGTAAATCAAAGAACTAAATCTTATGAAATCTCTATATTCTAGGAAATTGGGACAACAAAGTGTCAAACATCATTGAACTTTATCATAATTCTATGTTGGATACATTAATGCAAATGAAAAATATCATATTTTCTAATTTATCTTGAAATATGTGGATGTTACAAAATTATCGAGTTTTCTCAATAAATGTTATTTACTGAATTTTAAGCTCTTTCTTGTTGATTAAAAAAAAATACCTAATCATATTATACATTTATTTAATGTATCTTAAACTTATTTTCATGGTACACGGACAACATTTCTAATATTTTTATGAGTAATTTAATAAAACTTCATATTTTACCTAATTCAGTGGACTAACCCCTATTAAATCAGTAAGTTCTCGAGAAACTATGACCATTAAGATGTTAGACCTCTTTATTTTCATCACATGTCAGTGCATGATGAATTTATGCATTAAAACTACTGTATTTTTTATTTTATTTTTTGAAATATGTGGTTTAACAGCTACAAAATAGTTGAATTTTCTTATAAATGCGATCAATATTATTTAGCCTCTTTAGTGTTGTTTAAAAATACCTAATCACACTCTCAATTTATATATATGTATGCTAACCCTATTTTCATGGTACATGTGCATCATTTCTAATTTTTTCAGAGAGTAATTTATTTAAGCTTTATATACCGCCTAGTAAGTAAAGTAACTCCTAGAAAAACTCTTCTTTTTAGAAGAAATGAGAACACCTTAGGTCTCAAACCTTTTTAATCTCCAACCATTCATCCCCTTAAATTTTAAGGTGATATAGTACACTGCCTAATCTGTTCACCCCCTTAAAATACTATTTACTTTTCACTTTCTATTTATATATGCTTAAAGATTGTGTACATTTAGATTGAGAAATAATTTCTAAAGGATTGATAATTGATTTCTGAAGGGTTACAAATATTTTTCAGAAGGATTTTCGAAACCTTTAGACAATACTTTCGAGCCTTCTATAAAATTGTTATTCTTTTTTTTTTAACCCGGCAGAAAACTAATTCTCAGGCCTTCAGAAACCATTCAAAAAAAAATAATGTAGTTGTTTCTGAACCCTTCAGAAAAATATTTTGAACCCTTTAGAAAAATATTCTTAACCCGTCAATAGTAAATTTTGAACCCATCAGAATTCAATTTTGTATCATTCAGAAAAATATTTTCAACTTTTCAGAAAATTTTTCTAAGAACTCCAAATAAATGTTATGAGCCATTTAAAACAAGATGTGAAAAGACGAAATATTTTCTGAAGGATTCAGAATTATAATCTGAGGAGGTGAACAACTTTTTCTGAAAAGTTCAAAATTGATTTCTGAAGACTTCTGAATTGGTTTCTGAAGGGTTGAGAAATGGTTCAGAAGGGTTCAGAAGATTTTTTTGAATTATTTCCGAAACCTTACACTCTAGCAGCCATTCATCACCTCATCATCTTAATCCCAACAATAACATTTTACGTTAGAAATCAATTTTAAATCCTTTAGTGATCATTCTTTTCACAACCTTTATAGTTTTGAAGGGTTCATAAACATGTTCTGAATAGCTCATCAATTTGTCTAAATGGCTCATAAAGGTTTACCTTTCCGTTCGATGATGTTGTTTGATGTTTCAAGAGTTATCTATTAGTCGTTTAAAAAAAAAAGTCAGTCTACTATGGATATAATTAGTGAGTCATCTGACGAATTGGATATGAAACATTTTTGAAAGGTTTAAAATTATTTTTTCTGAATGGGTTAGAATTGATTTTTGAAGAGTTCAAAATTGGTTTCTGAAGGGTTTGGAATTGGTTTCTGAAGGGTTCAGAATATTTTTCTGAAAGGTTCGGAATTGATTTCTAAAGGATTCAGAATATTTTCTGAAGGATTTTTGCAATTTTACACTCCAACATCCATTCATCCTTTCAAATTTTAAGGGGATCAACAGTACACCATCAATCACAGTTCATCCCGTAAAACACTATTTACTTTTATTTTTTTATTTATATATGTTTAAAGATTGTGTATATTTAGAATTAGAATTGGTTTTTAAGGATTCAAAATTGATTTCTGAAAAGTTCCAAATATTTTTCAGAAGGGTTTTAGAAATCTTTAGACAATGTTTCCGAGCCCTCCAAAAACATTTTTATTTTGAACCCTTTAAAAAAGTATTCTTAAAATTTGTTAGAAAATTAATTCTAAACCCTTCATAAACCATTCAGAAAAATATTATTGTTGTCTCTGAACCCTTCAAAAAAATATTCTTAATCCATGATCAATAAATTCGTAATCTGTGAGGATTCAGTTCTGTACCCTTCAAAAAAATATTTTAAATCTTTAATAAATTGTTTTTGAGACCAATCCAAGTCTACAAAGTTGTACAATCTTACGCCAAACTCTAATAAACTCTGTTTTGGTTGTCATACCTTCAAGAAACTTATATGGGTCTTGTAGATAAGTATGTATGTTTACCTATTTTAGAATATGGATTTATGATTTATGCCTATTTAAAGTATACACAAACGATGTCGTGTGAAATCTAAAACAAAAAGAGAGCCCACATGTACTTCTCTCCACCCTGTTCATGTTCTTATGTCTAAACGTCATCAGATGCTTATTGGATTTATAATTTCATAGCTTCAAATATTCAATTTGACTTCTCCATCACAATTCATGAGTATTGTAGAAGAAGACATTACATAAGTATTAAACATATTAGTAATAAGACTAACTCACATATAAATTGCCGAATTAACACCATCCCACAAATGTGTGACTCTAATAGCTCTTTTGATATGGTGAAAAACAGTACAACAGAAACAGTCCAGATCCAACATCTCAAAAATACCACAACAAATAAGAACATTTTTACAAGTTGCATAACTAGGAAAATGTTTAAGTGAGAATTATATGTTTGACCAAATGAGCTTTGATATCATATTAGTAAAAACTACCTCAAGAGTGGAAGATTATCACTTCACATAAATATTGTCCAATATGATCATCATTCCACATGATGTGGAAATTGATAGTGAACTCAAGTGTGTTTATTGACTGGCTTTTGTTTTGTACTTGGTATTGATCACCATGAAGATATAAGTTCGTATGCTCTTTAAAAAAAAAAAAAAGTTCGTATGCTCTATAGTCTACACGGATAAATGGTTAATCCTTATGCTAAAAGACAAGCATCATATCGTATGCACATGCTGAAATGCTGTTCTTTTAATATCTCGGTGGAAAAAAGTGCCAGCACCTACTTAGAGCAGAAGAAAGGTTCCTCCTCGACACTTGCAAGTTAGTTCAATAATACTGATTCTTTACTTGGATTTAAAAGCATCTTCTCTTTTCTGTGCCTTTCTCATTTACATGCTAACAAAAACTCATTACTGGTGAGTATCTAGCCTCCTCATGCTCATATGTTACTTGTAGTGAGTGATGGACAAAGGTAGATTTAAGATTACTTTCTTCAGAGAAAAAAATTTGCATCAAGCTAATTAAAAACCCTACATGACCATGTTTGATATATAATTATTGAATGATTATGAGACAAGCACATTACTCTATGAAGAAGAAGAAATAATTCACCACAAAGAAACAGAAAAAAAAAACAAAATAAAAGTTCAATTGTGCACTGCATCAACGGGTTACAAAGCAAACGCTACAGAAAGCACCTGCCTTCTACAAGTTCCATGATCATGAATCTTGCTCAGACATAGAATTACCTTCACTTGAACATCAGACCATGTCAGCACCAAACTCAATTGCTTTCTCTATCCCTTCCGATCTATAAGGTGCAATTTTATGGTTGTGTCCAGCTAATAATGGACCCAACAACTCATTCTCAATGCACTCATACATCTCCTTGCAAAGTTTATCAACCACAAAACCAAACCCTATAACCTCATGCTTCATCTTATTCAACTCACCACAACTATAACCATCAAAAGGCTCGTTCAAAGTCTTTGAAAGGCTCTCAATATTACCTATAAGTTGCTGCTGCTGAATTTCAAACAGATTCTTCTTCATCTCTCTTTCCTCATCACTCATCTCACCTTTGAACAGCTCTCTACCAAACATGTAGAAGGCAAAAACATATGTGTATGAAATAATTTTTCTTGATCTGAATAACAAGTCGGCTCCATTTGTTACCCACTTCATATCCTTATGCACTGAGACGTGAGTTTTTTTTGACACTAACGCCGCCTTCTCACGTACACTCTTTCTAAGTTTATCCTCTTGCTTTGATGAATCAGTATGTGATCTGTATTGATGATAGTAATGTGTATATCTCTCTAAATCCCTTTTGGCTATCTCCAATTCCTTCGCCTTGTCTTCTTGGAATTTACCACAACTATGACCATCTATACTAGTCCATGTATGTCTTACACCAGTAGCTCCACCACACAACCAACAAAAATGCTGTCCACAAATACAAGTCATGAGGTTGCATCCATCACTCCTGTGAACAGGTTTGCTACATTTAGGACACATCTTAGTGTGGACCGTTATCCAGTTAAGTGTCGCGGACTCCTCTTCACACTTCTTGCTCCACAGCTTCCACATCAAGCAAGAGCAAGGAGAGTGAGACTCACAAAGACAGCTGAAACAAAACTGATGACCACACGAGCATTCAACCTCTCCACCACCATCTTCTTCTCTCCTTATCGCGTTGCCGCAATGAGGCGTGCTTGGACACCACTTGACCCTTTTGTTATCATCAACGTACGACTCAACCAAGAAACGATCAAACTTCTCAGCTACTTCTGGATTAATTAGCTTCTTAACAACGTCTTCATCGCAAATCGCGTTACATTTATAAGCCATGCATGTGATTCTTTTACTCATACCATCGTTGATCTTCACAGTAAAATGCTCTTTCCAACAGTTATTACAAAAGCAATGACCACAGTCCATTCTCGTCATCGAGTAGAATTGTAAATCATCGTCCATGCAGATATCACAAGCCATCTTCTTCCTCAAAGAGTATCGAGATTCAGGCAAGGAAGTACGAGCAAAGACAGTAAGACCAGCGGTTTTGAAAAGACTCTCTTTACCTTTCTCACCGTAGACATCTAAGAGTTTATCAACGTTCCATTGGTAATGAATGAGAAGAGTCCTTGCTTGGCTCTTCTTGAGAGTGAAAAAATCCATAACCTTAACCAAAACTTCCTTCTGCGCGGCTACGAGTGTTTCGTTGGTGATGATCTGGCAAGTTAGTTCTGGTTTTGTGGAGGAATTCTCGTCATGTTGAGCATGACAATATTTATCATAATCATCCTCAACCACCTCAAGCTCCTCCTCTTGCTCTTCTTCCTCGTCCTCTTCGCAGCTCAAGTAATAATCATCATCCATGGATACAAGAAGATCAACCAAGAGACACCGTAGAGGAAGAAGAAGAGACCGATAAAATCTAGGAGAATAATTATTAGACTCAAATCACGCAAATCCTTAGGGATTTGGTATTTGTTATTTTATAGATAAGTGTAACATATAATAACAAAATTAAACCGAAAACATTTAATAACAAAAAAAGTGTAACATATATTTAAGGAGTATTTCCTTAATTCAGAAGAGACCGATAAAATCTAGGAGAATATTTCCTTAACTCAGGAGTATTTAAGACTTCCTATAATATAAAGGGACAACATCTTCAATACTCATCCTCCTCATCACTCAATCTCCTATACCCACGAAAATCTCTTATACCCATATCTCATAATTCTTTTTTTGATCAAAACCTAAACTCCTAAATGAAATCCTCCCCGATGTTCAAACTAAACAAACCCCCCCCCCCCCCAATGGACGGGTGAACCCATAGGCAAATATTTAAATTCTATAGCTTTCAAATTCGAAAAAAATATATTTTAAAATCGTTTTTTAATCATATTTTGATGATTTTCGTGAAAATACGAAAAAACGTTTTTTGATTTTTGAAATAATTTTATCAAATTCTATAAATCAAATAAAAAATATTCACGTTTCAAGTTTAATTTTATGTTTTTTCGTTCAACATATAAAATTAAAAGAAAAAAGCGTCTAAGATAGATTGAGTGATGAGGAGGATGGGTATAAGAGATGATGCCCCTAATATAAAAAGGAAGTAATATATATCCTTAATAGTGTTTCAAAAAAAAAAATATATCCTTAATAAAGAATATTTTTTTTTTAATTGAATTAAGCCTAGAATGACAATATAAAAAGGGAGTAATCTAAGTGATGTTAAATAAAAACAAAAGAAATACTTATATAGTAAAACCTCTATAAATTAAGAATATTGAGACTTTGAAATTTTATTAATTTATAGAGATATTAATTTACAAAAAATTTCTTGTTTAGACTTTATTATTTAAGATCTAAAATAAAAATATTTTATTTTGATGTATAGACATTAATTATTTATTTTTTTTTTTTAAAATTGACATTTATATTAATTTTATTATATTTTTGGTACATATAATATATTACATAAAATTTAAATGTGGTTTTAGATATAAGATTACTAAATCTTATCAAAATATATTAACTGCTAAGAAAAAATAAAGATAATTCCATTGTGTATCCCATTACAAAGAGTAGTTAACATATCACCATAAAATCTTAATACAAGATCCTAACAAAGAAAATGTTAAGCTTTTTACTAAAATTAATTGAAAATGTTGGATTATTAAAAGAGAAACAAATAATTTTTAACTCAATAAAAAATATTTCACCATAAGTTTTTTGGTTCATATTTTACATCCTCTGATTTCTCCGGTTGAAGCAACTAAGGGCATCTACATTAGAGGTTTATGGTGAAAGTTCACCCGCAAACCAAGAAAAGAAAATATTAAAAAAATAAGAAAGTGGTGAACTCAGGTCATGGCGACTCTCTGCCATGAACCCGTATCAGTGCTATTTCGTGGGGTCCACGCCACGTGGCGGCTTACGATTGATTCGCTTATTTATTTATTTATTTAAAAAAAAAAAAATCAAACCGAAAAAAAAATAAAAAAAAAATAAAAATATACTTTGATGAACCTCAGCCCAAGTTCATTGTTCATTGATGGGCATGGCCTAACCGAGTTCTTTTGATATTGGTTGGTAGTAAAAGATAAATATTATATATCTATAAGAGCATCTCCAACCTCACTCCATATTTTACTGCAAAATGGAGTGGAGAATGGAGTAATAAAGAAACAAAAATCTCATTACTCCATATTTGGAGTAATCACTTTTTTGTTTCTTCATCACTCCATTTCCCATTCCATTTTGCAGTAAATTATGGAGTGGAGTTGGAGATGCTCTAAGTTCTCTTTTCGGATAAATAGACGGAAAAAAAAAAAAAGAGAAGACCAAAGAAGGATATCTATAACTTTTGGCCTTCCAAAAACAGTGTTTGGGTTTTTGTGTCAGCAGATCTTAGCTTCTATTACAAGTTCTACTTCTGTTATATAGACATAGTTGGTCTTGGACACTTGCTTTTGTCGTGACGAAAATGGTGTCAAAATCTACAAACGGCACACAGTTTGGATGTTCATGCAGTTTTTGTTTGGTAAGTTTATACATATATATAAATTCAGAGTATGTTTAGGTATTTTTAAACAACACTAAATAGACTAAATAGTAGAGTTAGTATTTATCAGAAAATTCAGTCTTTTCGTAGGGGTTAACCTACATATTTCAAGAAAAAATACAAAAAAATAATATTTTTGTTTTAATGCATAGCTGCATCATTAACTAGGATAGTAAGAAGATTAAAGAGGTTTGAGAGCTTTGGTGTTCCTATTTCTCCAGAAATTAGAGTTTTATAGGGGTTATTCCATCTATTAGATGGTATTAATGATTAAATAAATTATTCATTGGGGAATTAGAAATGATTCCCAAATACCATGAAAATAAGTTTAGCATACATATATATAAATTCGAAGTATGGTTAGTTATTTTAAACAACACTAAATAGGCTAAATAGTAGAGTTAGAATTTATCAGAAAATTCAGTCTTTTCGTAGGGGTTAACCTACATATTTCAAGAAAAATTACAAAAAAATAATATTTTTGTATTAATGCATAGATGCATCATGAACTAGCATAGTAAGAAGATGAAAGAGGTTTGAGAGCTTTGGTGTTCCTATTTCTCCAAAAAAATAGAGTTTTATAGGGGTTAGTCCATTTATTAGATGATATATAAAGTTTAAATAAATTATTCATTGGGGAATTCGAAATGATTCCCAAATACCATGAAAATATGTTTAGCATACATTTATATAAATTCGGAGTATGTTTAGGTATTTTTAAACAACACTAAATAGGCTAAATAGTAGAGTTAGTATTTATCAGAAAATTCAGTCTTTTCGTGGGGGTTAACCTACAGATTTCAAGAAAAAATACAAAAAAAAAATATTTTTGTTTTAATGCATAGCTGCATCATGAACTAGGATAGTAAGAATATTAAAGAGGATTGAGAGCTTTGGTGTTCCTATTTCTCTAGAAATTAGAGTTTTATAGGGGTTATTCCATCTATTAGATTGTATTAATGATTAAATAAATTATTCATTCGGGAATTAGAAATGATTCCCAAATACCATGAAAATAAGTTTAGCATACATATATATAAATTCGAAGTATGGTTAGTTATTTTTAAACAACACTAAATAGGCTAAATAGTAGAGTTAGTATTTATCAGAAAATTCAGTATTTTCGTAGGGGTTAACCTACATATTTCAAGAAAAATTACAAAAAATAATATTTTTGTTTTAATGCATAGCTGCATCATGAACTAGCATAGTAAGAAGATTAAAGAGGTTTGAGAGCTTTGGTGTTCCTATTTCTCCAAAAAATAGAGTTTTATAGGGGT